GGCGGTTGGGGACCCCTGAGGTAGAGTATTCCAGACACTGATCACTCTGTTGCTGAAGTCGTATTTCCTGTAATCAAGTTTGGTGCGATTAACCTTGAGTTTGTATCTACTGTTTGCTCTTGTGTTATTATGGTTGAAGCTGAAGTATTCATTGACAGGTAGGACATTGTAATGTATGATTTTATATACTATACTTAGATCGGACTGAAGGTGGCATAGTTCTAGGTTTTCTGGGTCTAGAATTTCAAGTCTGGTGGCATAAGGTATTCTGCAACAAGGAGTGGAGAACTCTTCTTGTGAAATATTTCTGGACTTTCTCAACTGTGTTATATCAGATACGTAATGTGGGTTCTAGACTGATGAGCTGTATTCGAGTATTGGTCCAGCAAATGTTTTGTATGCTCTAGTTATTAGTGTAATATTACCAGAGAAAAAGCTATGTAAGATTAGGTTAACAACTCTTAATGCCTTTTTGGCTATGTAGTTACAGTGGGCTCTAGCACTTAGGTCATTAGAGATGAGTACTCCAAGATCCTTGACAGAGTTTGGATCATCAACAAGGTCTTGACCATTCAGCCTGTATTTTATTTTCTGATATATTTTTTCCCCCAATATGTAAGACAGAGCATTTATTTGTTGAGATTTGAAGTTGCCATTTGTTTGACCATTCTGATACATAGTCAAGGTCTTTTTGAAGGGTAGCAGTATTGTCTGTGGTGTTGAATAGTTTTACATCATCAACGAAGAGAACGCAGTTGCTCTTGATATGATCACAGAGGTCATTTATGTAGAGTATGAAAAGAGTTGGTCCTAGTACACTGCCTTGGGGGACACCACTGTTGACAAGTACAGAATTTGATAGGACATTCCCAATTTTGACCATTTGTTGTCTGTTTGACAGGAATGCTTCTATCCAGTTATGCAGGTGTCCAGAGATACCGTAAGATTTTAGTTTTAGGAGTAGTTTGTCGTGTACCACTAAATCCACGGCTTTACAGAAGTCTATGTAGATTGTGTCTAGTGCTTTGCCCTAATCGAATTGTGTAGTCCATATGTTTTTGCAGGGTAAGAGTTGCAGATTACAGGACAGTTTTTTCCTGAAACGAAATTGTTTATTAGAGAGTAGGTTATTTGTTTCTAAGTGGAGGATGATGGATTGGTTAATAATTGATTCCATGACTTTACAGGTGATGCAGCATAAAGAGATTGGTCTGTAATTTTCAACTAGGCTGGGGTCTCCCTTTTTGAAGATGGGGGTGACCGTGGCTTGTAACCATAGTTTTGGCAAGGAGCTGGTCCTGAAAGATTTTTCAAAGATTATGCTTAGAGGTTTGGCTATGGCAGTGGATAACTTTTTAAAGAAGTAGGCATATATTCCATCCGCTCCAATAGATAGAGATAGTTTTAGATTCCGTAGTGCTTTTTCAACATTGTCTTCTGTAAAATCAATATGTATTAGATCATTGTAGTTATCTGTGGTTTGACTTGGAAATACTGGGCATGACCCATTGCTGTTTACAAATACTGAGCCAAAGAATGTGTTAAAGAGGTTGGCTTGACCATTAGGTCCTTTCAAAGGTGGGATGGACCTTGAGTCTTTTAATTTGTTGTTTACAAAATTGTAGAAAGTGCAGGTGGAATTGGTGCGTAGAAGGTTTTCTTCTTGTTTAATGTGATAATTGGTGCATTCAGTTTTTATCTGATGGCATAAATTTTTGTATCAGCTTTTGAAGTTGGCAACGTGACCAGATTTGTTTTTCCGCCAAAGTGATTTCTTTTTGGATTGAAGCTTCCTTATTGTTATGGGTAGTTTGTTTTTTGCTTGTATAGTTGTTGCTAAGCGTTCTTCTACTGAGTGAATAAGTGATTCTTTTAACTCTGTCAGGTAGGGTACTCAGTTTGTTTAGCTTAGGAGAACATGATGGACATAGATAAAAGAATGTATCTGAATTTTTAATCATATCAGCTAGGCTTTTGTTTGCATTTAAGCAGGCAGGGCGGGCTAGATTATCGCATAGGTGGCATTTGACGTAAATTTCACTGTCATTTATGGTTTCAAGACATCTGAAACATGTGCAGGAGCCTGGGAGGTCATTGGTAGAGATATTTTTCTTTTGTTTTGGTTTGGAGTTTTTGGATGGCATGGTCAATGGCAATAGTACAGTAATCAATTACAATAGCTAGTTAATGTGATAGGTAGACAGTTACTTAATGAATGTTGGTAATTAATAAATGTTAATTGATATGTTAGAGAACAAATCAAAAGTAAGGTTACTTATTACTAAAAATCAATCAATCAATTGGTTATTCAAATCACTCTAATCAAATAATTTTGCTAAGCAACAAACAGCCTTAATTTATTACAGTAATTACTAAACACATTGGTCAATTAAATTCACTAAATCACTGATTTTACTAATCAGATATTCAGTGATTATACTATATGCACTAAACACTCAATCATACTAATCAATAAAAACAATACATCAATTAATCATTTGATAAAAATTAATTATTTTAAAGAAATTTATTTTTTTGAGATAATTAAAGTAATGAAGTAGTAAAGTAATGAAGTAATGAATTTCCTCCACACATGCAACATGTGTAAACTTCCAACCTCGTTTTCCTCCTCCTTCCAATCCCCTTTGCTTCAAATGTAGAGGTATGGTAGGAGGAAGAATGAAGGTGGCAACTACAATCACACAATGAAAGCTTTGCCTCCTTTTCAATGTGTGTCGCAAGTGCAGTACACTTTAAAAAGCAGTGAGGTTTTAATTGCATGGTTGCTGCCACCATATCTGCTTTATTTTATTTTTTCGGGAGGATCAGAAAGCGGGGGAGGAAGAGAACCAGAAAGCAAGGAAGAAGACCCCCCCCCCCAAAAAAAAAAGAGAGAGAGAATTTATAAATGTTAGGGAAAAGGCAATGCATTCCCTATATATTAAAAAGCCAATATGCTGTATAATTATGTATCAATTTAATATTTTAATAACTTTTATTTTTCATCCTGCGGTCATTGCTTATGCACATCCCTTAATTTGGAACCTTGCAAATACTTATTTTAGAATTATTTTTTTTATTAATTTTATGTAACCCCTCAGAGAATGTTTTTGGTAGAAGAGCAGGGGAGCCTATAAATAAATGAGTATAATAGGGATGTTCCGTATCCCTTTCCTTTTCAGAAGTTTTAAAGAATGTGAGACTATTTCTCACAACAGGTATACTTTTTCTTTAGTCACACTGAAAATTTTTTAGCCTTGAGTCCCAAGAATACATTTATACTCAGTAGGATGAATTATTACCAATGACCTACTTCTGATACTCATATATATACATATATAGGTAGTCATTTTATTTTGTTCACCATATTCTCCCAGTGTTTAAAATAATAGTTTCAAAAATTCCTAAACCACCTTTCATTCTAAAGAATCTCAAAATATTTGACCAAACATGAATAAATATTAATTATGCTGAACACAATGAAGTAATGATTAGAAAACTAAAAGAGAAAAAAATAACAGTAATATAAAGCAGGCACAACATTGCTTGCATTCCAAATGCTTTAAAAATTAAGGCATGAGCAGATAACTTACACACATATATTAATGCCAGATGTCTTTCCTTTCTGAAAGAAATGCAAAATTATGGCATTACCCCTGCCCACTCACACCCACTAGGTATAGGCACATAACACATGTCTGAAATCAAATACATCATATCTCAGGTTGTGCTGCAACTGTGGAAGGTAGACATATATTATTGACTGCCCCCATATGTCTCAAAACACTTTTGTACGTTCAAATCCAATTCATTACCCAATCTAGTAGATCCTGAATTCTTAAAAGGTCAATGGATAAGGTATTTGGAGAGCACTGAATTGCTTACCGTTCTGGAAAATTAGAGAATGTAAATCATAGGTTAATAAGGGTGAGAAGAGATGCATGTTTGAAGGGGGAAATGTGATTTGGAAAGCACATGGATGTGCTTATGGCACTTGTCAGTAACAACTTTAAAGCAGGTTTTTTTTCTAGATTTCCAAAAGGGCAAGACACAGATCCAAACTTCCGCAGTGCTATCAGTAGTAGCACCATAACAAGCTTGTTGAATTACCTTAGCAGTAGCATGTGCTCGGATCTCAGCACTTCCCGAGATATCCAAAGTGTCATACAGCTGCTCATAAACCTATCCAGAAATACAAGAGAGGATAAGAAGGTTGTTTTTCAATGGCAAGGGTCTGTAAAATTCAAGATCCAGATAGGTGCTATTGGTAATAAAAGGAAAAGGGAGCCTAAACCAATCAGAAATAACTATCAGACTGAAACGGAAGAGGTTAAGCTAAATTCTTGGAGAGAATCTGATGCAGAATGGCAGGGTAAAAGGTTGAAATGATGGTGGTGGGGTGAACTGAAAAGAGAATCCTACAATGATAAGCAATACACCAACTGTGCAATTACAACAAATTACATGTTAGGAGGTGATGAAGAATTGTGACTGTGCTGGGAAAGGAGGAGAGGGCCTTCAGAACAAATGCTGTGTGTTTTGTAATGTAGCAGTCTATATACCCAGACAAATCTGATACATTCTGCCTCTTAAAATGGGCCTGGTTCATAAGCGATGAGATGAACAACAAAATTTCCCAACCATTTTTTAGCCCAGCCAAAGCATAGAGCAGAAACCAGTCAGCACTTACGCTAAACATATTTTGCAAAACTGGCATGCTAACCATCATCTTTAACTCCACCTCCCCTACTCCCAAACATCTTTCTAAAAATGCTCATCCCTGAAGTGGGGAGGAAAGGTTAAACACAAACAGAAATATGGAAGATAGGAGAAGGAAGGAGGACAAACTTCCAGTCTCACCTCCCGTATGGCACAGCAGAATTTGCTCTGGAGTACCCTCTGAAGGGCTTGCAATTTCTGGGGGGGCACCTCCCCACTGCGTTGCAGCCGCTCCAGCAATTCGACCGCTCGAGCCACATCTACAAAAATAAATAAATAAATAAATAAATAAATAATAATAATTAATAATAATAATAATAATAATAATAATAATAATAATAATAATAATA